GAATGAATGAATGACACCCAGAGATTCACTCCTGCAAATGTGAGGGAATGAATGAATGACACCCAGAGATTCATTTCTGCAAATGTGGAGGGAATGAATGAAGGAGCAGCACACAGGCCTGGCTTGATACACGAATGGGTGAATGCATGCACGAATGAATGATGTGCAGGGTTTTCTCCCTAAACGTGGAGCGAATAAATGAAAGGGTGAATACATGATGCCCACTGGTTCTTGACAAGTGTGGAGCACATGAGTAAATGAGTGAATGAATGAATGCAGCTCTGAGAATGTGGAGTGAATGAGTGATGGGAGAATGGGCAGAGGGCGGCAGGGGCAGGGTGGGCGTCGGCCTCACCGCCTCCCTGTGGCCCACCAGGGTCCAGGTCACCGCTGGCTCTGAGCTCTCCGCTGCGTCCCTTGAAACTGTGCCCCCAATGCCCCTCACCCTTGGGGTCACCCCCTCTGGGTTGTGCCGTTCTCCATGACTGTCAATCAATGAGGAAAGGGGTGTGGCCCAAGCCTGTCAATCACGGAGGATAGAGGGGTGTGGCACAAGCCTGTCAATCACGGAAGATAGAGGGGTGTGGCCCAAACCTGTCAATCACAGAAGATAGAGGGGTGTGGCACAAGCCTGTCAATCACCCAAAAGAGGGGGTGTGGACCAAACCTGGCCAGTTAGGGGTCCCTCACTCTCTTTGTAAAAACTCCCCCGAGCAGTGGTCATCTGGCTCTGACAAGGCCAGTCGGAAGCCTTGGGGGGGTGTGGCTCATGGGGGCCAGGAGAGAGAGGGCGTCTCTTTTCCCATTTGATTCCGCTCTGTAAAGATGGGGACCCGGGGCTAGCAGAGACCCTCTTTCCCTCCCTACAGAGAAAGTGGGCTTCCTCCAGTGATTCCCCACCCTGCAGCAGAGGGGTGCAGAAAAGGTGGGGCTCAGACCGGGGAAGAGACACAGACAGGGAGCAGAAACTGACAGCCATTCCAGCTCCTGGATCCAGCCATGCCTGAAGCCACCCTGAAAATCCTAATTATCCAATTTGACAATTCCTACCCTGACTTCAGCCAGCTT